TTCAACTTCATTGTAGAGTTTTTTAAAAAAAAAAAAAAAAACTCTACCAACCACATATGAAATAATAATTTCGCTAATTAAACTCCACATTTATTTTTGATACATTAGTAGTTGAATTTTTTTCAACTTCACAAACAATGTTAAGAAGTTATGACATATTTTATTTATTTTTTAGTTAGTTTTTAAATATATATTAAAGGACATATGTTACCTTATTAATTGTATTTATAGAATCTAAAAATTCCACTTAATTTGGGTTCGAAGTTTGGCTTTTGCTCTGCTTTCAATATGCCTTTTTGATGATGAGGTTATGTTCTTAATGCTCCACTTTCTCAATGAGGTGCAATCTGCCATTAGAATTTTACAGAATCTCTACTTGTTGTCTTTGAGCAATGAATCTTTGATTGGTTTTGATTTTCAGGGCAGCAGAACAGCTTGTGGGAATTGAGCAAGATCCGGCAAAGTTCACACCTTCAAATACAAGATTCCAGCGTGGAAGCTCAAGTATTCGTAGAAGGTTCCGGACCAACGAGATCACTTCGACACCTCCAACTGGTGTTGCCTATGTGTGCGCTCCAATAATGGAGGAAGATGAATCAATACATGGTGACTTCTGGCAAACTCATGCTTTGACTGCCGGCAGTATAGGAGAGACGCTCACGTGCTTCGGGATCAAACTAGAAAGGAATCTGTGCTTTTCTTCTGGTTTGTTTATTTCTCATTGTATCGTTTTGTAGTAATTTAAATCACTTGTTGTTTTCATGACCCCTGGTTTTGATAATTGTGTAAAATTTAGTGATGATGTGACAGTTATTTTCATGTGTAATGTTCAATAAGCCTTAGTTGACCATCTCTCTCTTTAGTAAACATTTGAAAAACACTGGATTTAATGAAAAAGAGCTTCATTTGTAGCTCTAGCACATATTAATAACAGCATCTTATTTTATGTGGAAGCTTATGCAGGAGAATTTCTGAGGTGGTTAATTATTCATCATCAATGAAGAAGATTGTCTTGAAGATTGTCCTCACTCTAAAGTACAAAAATTGGGGTGACCCAAGTAGTTGATTTGGAAATTTATGTTACCCCATTTTCCCTCTTTTTGGGCTTAATGGAGAAATTTCGTGACTTGGTTGAGGGAGGAGGGAAATAACATTGATCTTTGCATAAGTATATGTCCTCCCCAACTAGATTAAACTTATATCATGACACCCTTTCGTGATCTTTTGTTTTATGCTTGTTTACCGCCTTTTATTCTTATTTTGTTAATGATTTTGTTTGTTTCCATTGCTTGATTAAAATTTTAAAACACATGCATGGATGAGCAATTTATGTGCTTCCTATCTTGACTAGCATATGAAAAATACTGTTTTGATCCATCACAAGTCTATATGAAAGTATTGATGTGTGGTCGTTAAAGTTGCTCGTCATCCAATAACGTTGAATTGCTCGAGAAACTGTGAAGAATACTTAGTAACTATGTGCTGTAGTTTTGGACTGACTGTTAAAATCTATATCAAACTTAGTAAAACCTAATCTTGGCATTCATTAAACCTCAAATATCAAAGTACAAGTCATATGGTGTATTACATTTGTTATGTCCTACCGTCAACTTAACAAGATTGACCATCATACTTGTCAAGTCAACACACACCCAATTGCCACGTCACTTGTCCAAAGTGGTTAATATTCAGGCTCTTCGTCCGCCATAGGTATTCATTTACTTGAGTTGCTCATCTGCTCGGATCTCCTCGCTTATACGAATTGATCGCCCATCAGGGTAACTCGTCTAACTATTTCCACCAATATCCTATCAACGAGTCATCCCCCTATAGATCACTTAATCTGGGATCTTTAAATGCCACTAACTCATAATCTACATGAGTGAACTTCCCATTAATCGTCTTTAACTCATGTCCCATCACCAGCTATATTTTATATATAAGGTAAAAAGAAATCTAGGTAAATTATTTTGAACCTTCTTCGTGAAGCTTCTTTACCTTCTCTTTGCAACTCTCATTTCTTCTCTCAACCCTTAACTCTATACTATACCTTGCTGACTTAAGCGTTGGAGTTCATCCCGAATATCAAACTCCAACAACCTTGGCCTGTTTTCTTTATTGCAAGTCCAGTTCCTTTCACCTCACCATCCGGTTGAGCCGCAACTAACCGCTGCCCAAAATACTCTCAACAACATTTTTGAAGTTGATAGAAGTTGGCATAGAGTTTTTTTGTTGCTAGAAGAAAACTCGAGAGGACCGTAAGAAAGATTTTTAAAAAAGGTTAAAGTGTAAATTGAACGTTAAATTATCACTTTTCACGATTTAGTATTTATAAAAAAAGTTCATGATTTGATGATTTTATCTTACATCTGTTAAGCATTACATATCATTGACTTACAACGTTTTAAAAAATGATGGCATGACAGATATCGACTAAAAAAAATATATCACGTGATATGATTTTATTCGTTGATTTCTCATCACGTTAGCATATTATCAATGGAGTTGATGTTTAAGACAAATGATAAGACAAAGCAAAAGTTGAGATATCAAATGTAATTTTTTTATAAGTATTAAATTATAAAATGTGAAATAATTCAAGAATCAACTTACATATTAACCCCTTTGGAAAGCAGTATTTAGGTTTGTTATTGTAATCCATGAAAAGTGCAAAACCATTACGCAATGCAAAGTCCAGGACTGTGCGTGCCTTTGTATTTGAGGGAATATTAAATGGAATAGGGATTTTATTTATCTCCTTGATTTCCTTACTTTTATCCTTTATTTTGGTGTTTAAGTTTGTTTGGTAGATTTCCTCTAGTTCACCTGGCATTCGAGATTAGTTCACAGGGAGGAAGCTCTTATCATTGATGCATGATGAAACTACTTATTGAAATACTTATGTCATTTATTATTAGCATTGAAAATAGTAAACACTGTTTATAAGTCGTTTATTCTGATACCAATGCTATGTGATGTCTTCAAGCTGTCTTATGTTTCTGTACTTTATTGTTTGTATCTTGGAGGCTGGAGAAAAGCGGAAAGAAGAGATGATAGAACTTGAAGGGCCCCTAGTTAAGATAAAGGCAATCCGCAAAGTTCTAGTGGAATATGTGAATAGTTACCCTTGGAATTGGAGTGCAATCCTTATGCACTATTGTCAACATCTTGAGCAGGCTTAATCTCAGTAATCACTGGATGACTTCTTTCTTGCCAGTGTTTACCAAGAGCTCAGTGGCATAATGAATCTTTATCAAAATATGAGAATCTACAGGCTAATTTTACATTTATACAGGCTCAAACTGCAAAAGCTCCGTAAGGAAACTTGAACAAGTTGAAGTGATATTTGAAATAACCAATATCGAGTAGAGGACATCGATACATATTCTAATCTGCTCTACACAATGGAATGTTTCTCTACCTTGAGGTAGCTTGCTCGCAGGGTAATTATGACTGATAGATACAGACCTGAATCATTCTGCATTATTGGAAATTATTACAGTTTAAAAAGGCAGCATTAAAAGTCAGCCACGTATTTTAGGAGGGCACTCAAATTGAATAAAAATTATTTATCTGCTTGGACTCTAATGGGACATGAGTATGGCCAGATGAAAAACACTCCAGCTGCAGTTGATGCCTATAGACGGGCTGTGGACATAAATCCTCGGGATTATGGATGGAGCTTCGTATGGGTTGGGACAAGCGTATGAGATGATATGCATGCCCTACTATTCTCTGCATTATTTAAGGAAATCTGTTTTCTTTCAGCCAATTGATTCTCGGTTGTTGATTGCCATGGCTCAATGCTATGAATCTGAACAGCTGCACATGCTTGAGGAGGCCATCAAATGTTACAAAAGCGTTGCAAATTGTAATGACACAGAAGCAATTGCCCTGATTCGGCTAGCAAAGCTACAGAGAACTTGGCTACATGAGGAGGCAGCATTCTCTTATAAGAAGGATTTAGAAAGAATGGAAGCTGAAGAAAGAGAAAGACCATCTATAGTTGAAGCTCTGATCTTTCTCGCGACACACTTCAAAGCACAGGAGATTTGAAGAAGCAGAAGTGTATTTGTACCCGTCTTCTGGATTATACTGGCCCATTGAGTTTCCTTGTTATTCTTTCTGCATATCGTTCAAAATTACCCATTTTAAGCAAAATTTTCAGATGTTTCGAATGAGTTTTATTTATTTTATTCTTCTGGATTGTGATTATAGGGGAGAGAAACAGCAAAGAGTTTACTTCGGGAGTAATGAGAATAGCACAATCCGGTTTTCCTTACATGGATGTCGAGCATTTTCATCCCTGATTTTCTCATTCATACCTATAAATGCTTGAAAATCTTTTGAAACACATATACCTTTCCCTTTGGATTTGGGAAACCAAAAGCCAATGAAACCTTTGGGATAGCCAAGTCTAGTTGGCTAATTCTTGGTCGGCAGCACAACAGATGGTCTCGTATGTTTGTAACGTGAAAAAATCCTCACATTAATTCAGCATTTTACCAACAGATCATGTGATTGTTAACCCTCTGTTCTTTTATTGATCACTAAAATTGAGAGTAGCACTCTTTGGTGACCCTCATATTCTTTTTATTGTTGTGTTGTAATATAACAACTTGAAACATGCAGTTATAAGCCTGTATAAACCTTTCAAGGCCGGAGTAAACGTACTTTTACAAATGCAATAAGGACTTATAAATCTGATCTCATTGGCTTTGATTGACTAGTGAAATCAGTTGCATAGAAAGGCAGCTAGAGACCATGAAGCATCTAATTTGCTTTCAGTTTGATCTTGCTTTTACGCTGTCATTTTGAGAACAAGATAGTTAGGCTTTTAAGGAAAGCATTTGTTGCCCAAAGTGTGTTATATTTGCCAGGCCATGAGTCATCTTGCACTCAACTCCAAACCAGATTCACAGGACCATATTCTAATAGAAAAAAAAATGAAATTCATATGGTTTCAAAGCATAAGAGCAGAACAATCCAATCCAAAATCATATTGCAAATACAGTCATTCATATTAGCTGAAACTAGAAGGAGTTTGAAATTTTCACAGAGCTTATTACCTTTAAAACCACATCAACTAACCAAAATCAACACAAACTTTGAATTACAATAACCAAATAGATTCACTTGGTATTGAAACCTTTCAGCATAAAGCAAAGTGAAGGCTCCTCATTTTGGCTCAGTGAAGAAGCTGTTGACACTGGGCATGATTTCAGGTGCCCTGTTGCGGACATATTTTCTTAGAAAATGTTCAGCATACTTTTCTCCCTCAGAAAAGTTCTCCAAAACCCCAGCTGCCCTGTTCTCCTTGCTTACCCTGATTCAACCCAGACATTATCAGAAGCAATATATTTTTTTCCAGCACTGAAATTTATTGTCACAATCTTTCATTACGACTCTGTCTGTTCGGTGCTTTTTGTTATTTCCCTCTTGTTTCCTATTCTATTTTTTTCTTTTCTTTACCTTCAATTTATCTTCGGCACAAAAAAAATAAATAAATAACAGCATCGACAAAACAAAGCCTAACTATCTCCATTTGTTATGTTCTTTTTTTTGTTTTTCCCAAAAATCAATCTTCCAATTAATTTTGTAAGTAGAGCGAAAATACGAAATAGCACATAGTAAATATATTTGGGATTATTTTCCTTTTAACAAAAAATTACCATTTTATATTCTGGAAAAAGGGCCAAAAAATAAAGCTAAATCAAACATTTATTGACTTTTCCTTCTCCAAATGAAAGGGAAAAAAAAAAAAAAAAAAGAAGGAAGTTACCAAATATATAGCTTCGAAAACCGAAACTATGATTAAAATGAAACTAGATTTATTTTAGCAACATTGAACAACCAGAAACCTTTTATGCAATTCTTGGAATGGAATTCCAAAAAAGCTAAAAATCCGCATGCAAATATGATTGATTTCAACAAAATTGAACATATATCAAAATTACAAATATCTTGTCAACACCTCAAATATTGTTTTGACTAAAAAAAAAAAGGGAAAAGATATCTTATACCAACGGTTATGATTTAAAAAATCATAAATATATTAAATATGCAAAAAAAAAAAAAAAATTGGTAGAGAGAGGGGAAGAGAGACCTGACTTCAGGGTTGAAGCAGATATTGCGCACCAACTGGAAACCGCAGATCCCCACAGCAACACCAACGGCCGCGAACAGCGGATACACCTACGCAGTACACCCCTCTCTTTTATTTAGTATTTCTTCTTATTTATTCATTGGATCTACCAATTTACTAAGCAACAAAAAAGAAAAAAAATTGAATAAAATCAACGCTGTGGATCTGAGCTTACCTCAAGCCTCAACCACCGGTTTGCCATCGAGCGCACTGCACGGAAGCGATCAGAGAGTGGCAGCTTTGAAATGAAAGAGAAAGGCAAAAGAAGATGAGAAGGTACGAAGACTCTTTATTTACCTTGATGACTTATTAGGGCATTTTCTTTTCTTTTTTAAATTATTGGTTGAAGCTGATTGGTTATTAATGAGGATCACAGTGGGACTTATCCAATCTGTTGATGCCGCGTGGACCACAGGAGTGCGATTCGAGGCCCATGATGATAGATAGCATTATTGTCTTCAACTCATATGCTCGCAAGAAAAAACTTGCCTTAACTTATTTTCTTTTTTGATTTTTCTTTACATTGATTTTTAAAACAAATTTAATTTTGTTCATTACTATTGGCAAAATCATAAAATTACAGATTGTTAATTTCAAAAATTTTAAAACATATTTAAATTTTAATTATGCATTATTCTAAAAGATAATAATCAAAATTTAATTTGTTTGACCAAAAAGTTAAGAGTTCATTTTTTAACTAACAACTATGAAATTTTTAATTAGATATTGTCATTTTTTATTTTTAAAAAATTTACTTCGTATATTATCTACAAAATTTTTTAAATTCGTCAATAGAATAAAGGATTATCATGTATTAATTACAAATAAAATCAGACGAAAAAAGAATAAAGGTAATTTAAAAAACCATCAAAAGTAGAAACCATGGGCGATTTATTGAATTACAATTCAATAGTATAATAATGCTGCACAAAACCATGTGCCACCTAATAGAACCCAAACCCAAACAAAAAAGGTACAGCAAGCAAGTTAATATTGTCGCGTGGCACGTATGTAAATTTATAATTTCATTTTTATCATATTCATATCATATTAAATTTATATCAATATTTTAAATATAAAATATTTTTTTATTATTTTTATTAAATTTATTTTTTTTATTAAAATTTTTAAATTATATATATATATATATATCGTATTTAAAGTTATCAAAACTACCAATGAGTTGAGTTCTAACGGTAATCACCTCACGCTAATATTTTAGATTGAGAACGAAATCGGTAACAAATGACCATGTGTGTGCTCTCAGAGTTATTATAAATGGATACGAGGCATAAAATTATAATAAGATAAAATAAAATAATATTATGAATAAAATTAAATTAAATTATTTTATTTTATTTTATTTTATATTTATATGTATAAAATTTAAAATAAAATAATTTATTCATTAATTAAAATTATTTTTTTAAGTTTATATAATTTAAATTATTAATATAATTTTTAAAAATAAAAAATATATAAATTCAATCTCAATAGTTTAAAATAATTTTTTTTACACTAAAAAAATTAATTTTTTTATAATCTTAATTTTTAATATAAATCAAATATCATATAAAATAATTATTATTTTATTCTATCAATTTTATGTATCAAACCTCACGACTCTACCACGCCGAACTCACAGGATAGTGCTGTTCCCCTGACAAAGACGACAAGAATTAACCGAAAGAACTACCACGTGGCGTGATGCAAGTGTGCGTTAAATCCGACATCAAATGTGTTATTCATGCGTGTACTCAAGTGATTCTGAGCTTAAACACCGCAACTAATAAACAAGTCTTCCGCGTTGAAGCTTAGCCCCGGACAATATGCTCCACCGACTATTTGTTTTCTTCTTTCCTTATTCGAGTACAAATTGTCTCCTTTTTTTTTTCTTTTTAATCTTTTGGCAAGCAAACCACGATACAACTGAAAATAGTCATTGATTACTTCTCCTTGGCTATTGTTTTACTAAATGCAAGGTGAGCATAACCACAGCTGGTCACTAGAAACATATATACAGTTTAAACAAAAAGCAACTTAGTTAAAATTAGGAAAGCTTACACCAATAGTGAACTGAACAAATTACTATTCTTGATTTCTTGTTCGCAACTACAAAAACCAGATGAGAGTTCAAAATCAGATTGAAGCAACATTGTTCAACCTGATGACTTGAGTTCATTGAGGAACTTACCAGCTTTCCTAGTTCCCGTTGGCATTTTATCCTAGCTTTGCATTCTTGGCACCGCGCAAATTCTATTTGGAGTTCACCATTCCCACCAAAATTGAGTCCACACTGGCTGATGAGTTGGTTAGGAAGCCTGTGTAAGTAACAGAAAAAATTAATTTCCTAAACCCATCCTTTTGCACACCAGCAAAGAGACTTTTTGCAAAAAAAGTCAAAAACATGCTTTTCAAAATGCTTTCAAAACTCAATTTCTGAGAGGATGCTTTTAAAGCACAATTTAGGTAAAAACAAGTTTGGAAGAACATGTTTATATTGTGGTCACAAAAAGCCGATAAGTTTAAAAAAATTTTGACACTGAATGAGTTCGAGAAATATTTTCTTTCACTGTATGAATTTTATCATTAGACTCCCTGATTGGCTGCTGCCATGTTGACATCACATTATTACCATTTAACGGCAACTGTGCCTGTCTACGCCAACATCCATGATCATTGAGTCAAAGACTGCATTAGTTTGCTGCTCCCTTGAAGACTGTGCATCAGTTTGCCACTCCCTCTATTGTTTACATACCCGATCTTGCCAAGAGCCTGGTTGCTTTGCTAGCACCTACAAACATATAGAGAATAATTGATCATCTATTGCTCTCGTGGATCCATTCAACGTACAAATACAAATACATACTTGAACAAAGAAAGTACTCTCCAGTCCACTCACCTTCTCATTTAAGAGGCTAGTAGGCAGACCATTATCATCGCTATCCTTTTTAAGGTTTTCCTCCTCTGATTCACTATCTGTAGTAACAGAAAGAGAAAGTGTTGATGTCCCAAAAATGGCCTCATCATGAGCTGCTTTAATTTGCTCCTGCCTCTGCGCCTACATATTAACACAACATCAGATACACTACAGCTGTTGAATTAATTGTCTCACACGAAACTCAAACGACGGACACAGCAGAACTGGAATGCATGAACATCAGATGGAATTTGAAAGATTAGCCTATACAAACAAATGATACAGCACCTCTATGGCAGAAAACCGAAAGCTCTGACCAATATGCTTGACTAATGCTGCATCATCTTCAGCAACTGCAAACAAGGAGCACGTCAAGTTCTAGTTTGCTTTGTTCATTCCAGAAGTACATGTATTTCAGGCAAAAGGTAAGTCCACTTGAATAGATAAATTCAAATGTGAAGTACATATTCGATGATAACCAACTTAACATCTTTAACTGACAATCATTAGATAACCAACTTAACATCTTTCACTGACAATCACTAGATTCATTGTAAGCACTGCTAATAAACTACATAGTTTCTTCTTAATAATCTAATATTCACAAATTTCAAATTATTATACAATATTGAAGTATCACTAGAAGAAAAGAGGGAAGCGAATGGAGTACAGAGAGGCCTTACATGCTCCTCAGATTTATTGATTTGAAGGGCTAAAGCCATAGATGATTGACTGGCAAGAGGCTTATCAAACTAAGTAGGACTTTCTCAATTGGTCATTCTAGTCGAAAGTGGTGAATTTAGCTTTTTGCCTTCACAAAAATTGAGGGAAACCAGTAAACTTAATTTCATGCTTAGCCTCTACAACTCTGACACCAAGTCAGTTCGAATCCTCCTTTTATTATTTTAACATGTTTTTCTTCCACAGAAATAGATTTGCATCGAGCATATTTGAATTTTGAGTCTCTTTTTATCAAGTACCTGATACAAATACTCATCATTACTTATAAGACTTAACAACTGATACCTTTTAAATTTTATAGTAAATAGCCAACCAGGAAAAAAGTAACAACCACCGAGGTTATAAATCCAAAGATCAACCAGCAAGGAACTACTTGTTCATAGACCATAATATCAAATGAACCTGATAGATTTAACTTCCTAAAATTGTTGTTAAATTACACTTATGAGGCAATGGATAGATGTTAACCTTCAATTTCCTCATCATCAAGAGGAGCATCTTTGTCAAACTCAGACCGTTCCCAACCAGGGCCTTTTGTTGGAACCTTTTCAGCTGCATGTAAAATTTAATTCTTAAGAAATAGGAATCTAGAAAAATCTCTTTCTCTCTCTCTCTCTCTCTCTCTCACACACACACACACCCCACAAAAAGACTTGATGACTTGGAATAACTCATAATTTCAGAAGTCGCATAGGTTCTCTGTTCATGAAATTAAGTAACAAATGTACGAAAGAGCAATGAACTAACAGTCCAGCATTTAAATTGCATAAGCATTATGATCAAAGAAAAGTGCAAGAATGCAACAAATCATCCACAAGACTTCTCTAGCAAACTTTAGTTCGAAAAGTACATAGATCACATCTTTATATAAAACGCATCAAGATGAATACAGCTTTCCATTTTTAAGAGTTACTGAACTTCTTTTCTTAAGATCATACTGACTTCCCACAAATAAACTAAGATTGCCACCTCAGCCAAAATAATGCTAAATTGATAGTATCAAACATCAAAAGCTAAATAAGAACGGCACATAGCACTCTCAGGACCCCTTGAAACTCCAAATGAAAGAATGGAAACCCATATGTAAGATAGGACAAACTACCTGTTTCAGCAAGCTGAAGTTTCATCTTGGCTTTAACTCTTTCAGCTGGTGACAGTTGACAAAAGAAATTCGGCTTTTTCATCACTCCTTAAAGCAAAGGACTTATATAGAGAGAGATCCAAGCATATTAAAGATAATTGGCAAAGTCACCGAATTAAATTAATTTAAGGCATAGATTCCAGTCCAATCTGCTCACCATAAAGGACTTGCGAAAAATAATTTCCCGATATCAGGCAAATTGGATTAGTATATTCTCAAATGTTAATTCTTTTTCCCTTTTTCCATGGCATACTAATAACTTTCAAAAAATTCCGTATCCCTTCTAATCATGCTTTCCTATTATATACGGATTGTACACTTATTGATAAATTTAACAATAGTATACAATTGTGGCATGAAATAGAGAAAGCGAAGATTAAGCAGCTTGGGAATCTGATTCTTTCAAGAAGCAGTTGCAATCATAAATGTAGTATGCTAGAAGAAATAATTTGTAATGAAATTTAAAGGGAAAAAAAAGAGTAAACCCGAAATGAAGAGACTAGAACGTTCATACCATCCTATGGTAGCCTTGGATCAATCGCGA